AAATGGGAAGAAGTTTGACTAGTAAACTAGAAGGTTTGGTACTTGTAGTAGAAAATTTTGAGGTATTAGAGGAGGCCTTATTTTTATTTATTTTTTATAGAAGTCTTTCAAATGTCTCTCTATATAATTTCAAATAAAAAATAAATTTATAATACCAAATTCAAAATATTTACTGTACAAGTTAAAAAATGGGAAAAAGTTTGATTAGTAAACTAGAAGGTTTGGTAATTGTAGTAGAAAATTTTGAGGTACTAGAGGAGACTAAAGAGGTATCTTATTTCAATTGAGCTTTTATTAATCTCTTATGAGGATTATGTTGTGTATTGTGTAATTTCTCATTTATTATCAATTATTATTTTTATTATTTTTATTTTATATGAGAGCTGATGGCTTCAGATGAGGGCTACAACCCATTACCAATTATTATTTTTATTATTTTTGTTTTTATATGAGAGCTGATGGCTTCAGATGAGGGCTATAACCCAAATTGGGGATAGAGGGATGACCCAAATTGGGGATAGAGGGATGACCCAAATTGAGGATAGAGGGACGTAGAAATGGATCTGCGCAAGATAGGATAGTATAGAAATGGATGTGCGCAGTGCAAAGTGGAATTTAGAGAGAGAAAGTAGTGGAATTTAGAGAGAGAAAGTAGAAATGGATATGTGCGCAGTGCAAACACTTATAAGTGGAATTTTGAGAGAGAAAGTAGTGGAATTTAGAGAAAGAGGATTTTTTTTTATAAGAGACGCGTAGTTAGATTACCCGTTAAGCTAGATTACCCGTTAAGCGCGTAATGGATTTCCGCGTGATAGATTTTACATATTTTGAGGAAATCTTCTACGCGTAATAGATTTCACGTATTTTGGGGAAATCTTGTGTAATTTATTTCCATTTTCTTACAGTTGAAGTGTACCAAAATGGTAAATCTCATATTTCCTTGTAATATGATTCCCTGTAATAGATTTTCAGGTACCCAAACGGTACCTAAGTATTTGCATTTTACTGAACTTTTTAACTCATTTTTTAAAGTAGACCAGTCTGACTAGTCAACTGGTCTGGTTTGACTGGTCCGATCTAACCAATGCCTCCACCAGTTTGATGGCTAATAACATTCATTAAAGTGACTAACATAACAAATATAAGAATGGAACAAACATTTGACATGACAAATTCTTTCAATTATCACAGTTACTTCACACATACCTGGGTCTCTATAAGAGTATACCGCTCAAGCAATGTCTTCTTTTCTTCACTTGTAAGAACTTGATGCTCTGGAACAAGGACATGCTCCTTGGCATTGACTTGAAGTTCCGATTCCTGAATAAAAGTACATGACATACAATATCTAAATACCATTACCTTCAGAGTATCCATAAGAACTAAAAATCTTCTACTGTTATTAATTTCCGTATTCAAATAACCGTGTGACTATTTAGATAGACTACTGCATAATCTTGCTCTCATACTTCATGGCCCATAAGTTCATACTTTTCCCAAAAGGTAAATGATATGCTATTGGGTGCTACATTTGCATATGAGAACCTCAAGATGAGAAAATACTTTGATTGTTTCTACCTTGCAGTTAGGTTTTGACCAGTTTCCAGAACAATGATGTCAATAAGATCATAGTGCAGTATACAAAGTAAAGATTCACCTTCCTCGGTCTCCAATATGAGATGCAGCATACAAAGTAAAGACTCACCTTCCTCGGTCTCCAACTAAAAGATATGAGATGAGAGATCACCTGAAATGTCTCCAAATGGAACTTAGTAGCAATTTCTTGGACACATTGCCGGGCGAAGGGAGTCAAGTTGTTTTGGAGGACTAATATAGCCCGAAACACATTCTCCGACTTCATACGCTCTGCATATGTTTTGATGCTCTTTACACCAACCTTTTGCTCCTCAGGGAAGAAAACATATATCTGACAATCAATAACAGGACAAGTCAAGAACAATCCAAAATGATGGCAAGCTAAAAACATACAAAGCAATGGTTTAGTCAGGATTGAAACTCTTCCAAGGAAGTAACATAACTATTGCAAAACCTAAAATTACTTAAGCGATGTTTGGTATCAATATCCAGAACCACACCATGTTGAAAAGCACAGGTTACTGTGCAGTCTGAGGCAGTTTGTGTCCAACTCATAAAAGTTCCTAAGTCTGTACCAGGTCTGACTCATTTTTCAGAATATATAAGGGGGAGGAAAACCGAACCGACCTTCTATTTTACAGCCAAAGGATTATCTGGCCTTGAGAGAATGGGTCTAGGACTAATATTACATCATCTCTAGGATCCAGAGCTTTGATTCAGCAAGAAAGCATTGACATCTTGCAAATCCAGGAATTGAATTCTTGATTTAAGGTTTGGGGTGCAAATTTTGAGATCTTTGGATCAAGTTGATCAGGAGTCCAATCACAAGATCATTTTGTGGTTTTCATTTGAGGTATTTGACGATCTTTTTACGACTGGAACCCTCAATTCAAATGGAACACAACTTTAGGAGGACTGGCTTCAAAAATTTGGGAAAGAGAAATTGGGATTCGTTTTTTCAACTTTAAAGTCCAATAAACTTTTTTTTTTGGGGACAAATATCTTAGGAATTGCAGAGTTCTAGTTACATTTTCTTTCGTCTTGTATTTTTGTTCCATCCTCTCAGAATAATCAATACATAAACATTTGTTTTTACATTCTAATCTATCTTAACACTTTTTCATGTATGTCTACATGTGGTATCACTTGTTTGGGTATTTTTCAACTTGATGTTAATGAAATGGTTTTGTTAGTTTCTTATGCATCTAGCATGATTACTTTGTTTCTCAAAAAATCAATAAATAAACAGCTTTTCACATGTCAATGCATATGAAAATATCTTGATACATGTCTACATGTGGGTTCACTTGTCGGGTTCTTTTTCTTTTTAAATTGATGACATCAATAAGGTGTTTTTTGGTTGGAATTTATGCCTCTAGCATGCTTTACTTTGTTTAAAAGTAATTTTTCTCTCTCAAAAAATTCAGTAAAGGAACACTCATTTTTACATTTTAATGTATAAGAAAACATGTAATTTATACATGTCCACATGTGGGTATCACTTGTTGGGTTTCTTTTCATCTTGAATTGCTAATAAGATATTTTTTGTTGGTTTTTTATGCCTCTAGCATTCTATATTCAAAATAACATATCATCCTCATCATCATCCGAGCACTATCCGAATTATTTGGAGTTGACTGCACGAATCGTGTTCTACCATTCTACTATATCAAGGGTCATACAGTCAGTCAGACCATAAGTCACATATTTCTTCTCACTACTTCCATCCATGTCCTATTGAACCTTCCACTTGCCTTTTTAAAGACTTCCACTTGAACCAAATCACCCCTCCTAACCAGTGCTGTTCTAGATTGACGATGCACATGGCCAAACCACCTAAGAATATTTTCCATCATCTTATCGCCTCTTAGAGCTACCCTAAGTTCCCTCGGATGTATTCATTTCGAATTATATCCTTTCTTATCTTACCACTTATCCATCTCAACATCCTCATCAATAAATAAAGGAAAAAACTCTCTCCAAAACAAGTAAATAGAACAGTTCTTTTACATTACAATGTATATGAAAGACAAAAATATTTTTATACATGTCTACATGTGGGTTTCACTTGGTTTTAATTTACTCAAGTAGATGATACCAATTATACATTTTTTTTAGTTTTTTTTACCTCTAGCATGCGTACTTTATCTCCACAAAATCAGGAAACAAACATCTTTTGACATTTCCAAGCATATGAAAATATTTTGAGGCATGTCCACATGGGGGTATCACTTGTTTTGTTTCTCAACTTGATGATGCCAATGAGACAATTTGGGTTGGCTTTTATACCTCTAGCATGCTTACTTCCAAAGTTACATTTCCTCTAAAAAAATCAGTAAATAAATATTTTTCTACATTATAGCCTATTTGAAAATATTTTTTTATACATGTCAACATGTGCGTATCACTGACTGGATTGTTTTCAACTTCATGATGCCATTGAGATGTTTTTGGTTGAGGTTATTGAGCCTCTATCATTCAGGCTTACTTTGTTCAACATGTTTTCTCAATAAAACCAATAGATAAACAATTCTTTCACATATGAATGTATTTGTGAATATTTTTATAGATGTCTACTTAGACCTTGTAATACTTTGTGCTTGTGTAGGCTTAGAAGATTGCAAGAAGGATGGTGAAAATATTTGAGAAAAGTTTCACAGCCTGGAAGGCCAGTTACTTGTTGCTAGGGGGAAGGATAAGGCTTACTAAAGCGACTCTCTTCAACATTCAGGTCTCCCATATGCCCTCCTCAGAATGCCTGTCTATCCTAAAGAGACTTGAGCTCCTGATGAGGGATTTCCTCTAGTCCAGATCCGGAAATACACAAGTTTCATCTAGTTAGCTGGGATATGGTCTGTAAAGTAAAGAATGAATACAGGTTAGGGGTACGAAGGCCTAAAGACTGCAACTCAGTTCTGCTGCCTAAATGGTGGTGGAGATTTTCAAATATGGCCCTCAGTCTGGGTGGTTACCCAAGGGACAAGCAGGTGCACGAGCCTTTGGTGCATGTAAGGGTATCATTACAGGCTATGATGGCTTCGCACAGCACGCTCACTTCGTAGGAACAAGATAGAAGATAAGACTGTGGAGGGGTCCCTTTGGGTTAGGGGCAGCAATCTCGGAGAGATGTTTTAGAGCCTCTTTTCCATTGCCTTATACAATAATGCCTTGATTTGGTAGTCATACAAAGTGCTCGGAGCACAACTGGTTGGACTTGTAAGTTTAGGGGAAACATTTGCAATCCGGAAATCTCTATCTTGGCTGCCTCTCGAGCTCCTTAACAACCAGTTCATCCCCCAAGTGGAATGATAAATAAATTTGGCCCCTGCTTCGTCAGGTATTTTCTCGGTCTCAATGTATATTGATTCTAACTCTACCAATGGTGGGCGTGTTACTGCCAATAAGGCCTAGATGACACCTCTCACCAAATGATTCAAGCTTTCAACTGGCGGCTGGTCTCGGAGGGACTGCTTAGCAAAAACCAGATCCAAAGGAGGGGAGTCCTCTACAAATTATTGTGTGAAGTGCAAGGAAGGGGTGGAAACCAAGGATCACTTTTTTGTCCATTGCCCATTGGCAATTCAGGTTGGGGGATTCGTCTGTCCTCTTAATTTTGAATGGCAGTGGGCGAGGCCCCAAAATGCCCAGCAACGCTTTGCTACCTATTTCGCACCTCGTTCTCATTGGTAAGGCTATTCCAAAACCACCCCTTTTGAGCCCTAACAAGCCAGCAACAACTCTCAAAACCAACCAACCGATACCCCTACACTCAAATCAAGATTTACCATAATTCAATCCTAGAAACCTTTTTAGCAACCTCATTCCTTGCTGGGATGAGAAATTCCAGCAAGCTTCCATGATTCCATCCCTTTAAAAATCCTCCAACCTGTGTTAAACCTTTCCATAACCCAGGATACCCTTCGCCATAACCCTAACCCTAGTTCTACTTCATTTTGACCTCATATTATCCAATTCTGTCCCAATGAGGAAAGAGGTTTAACCTTCTGGTTTTAGATCAAAAGTCAAGAAAACAGAAGCCAGGAGATTTTCCTAAAAGAAGGAACATCATTACAAGTTTTAGAAACTCTCCCCAACAAATGTAATAGAATGCTTATTAAAATCCCTGAGAGAATAACATGTAACCTAAAAGCCTCAAGAACTTCATAAGGAATATTTACCACAAGCTACCTTGAATTTCATCAAACATCCAACTTCAGCCAAATTACATAAAATAACCAACTTCAACCTAAGCCCAAGAACCTTGCACTATTCACCAAAAAAGAACAAAAGTCTTGTACTATGGCTCAATGGTCAACATTCTAACCACTATTCAAAACAAGAGAGGAGGGCACCTTTTTTAAGGTGTGATGTCCACCTAAATTAAGCTTAAGTGTACACTTATGTCTTCCACTTGGGTAGAGTAAAGATTTTCCTAAAAAAAGAACATCTATATCACTCTCAGCAACTCTCTCTCCCCGGCAAATGTGGCTGGTGCAGAATGGTTCACTAGTCGGATCGGTTAAAAAATTTTAAAAATAGAGAAAGTAAAAAGAAAATAATTAAAAAATAGATGAGAATGAAAAATAAAAAAAATAAAGAGAAATACCAAATGTTGCATTTAAGAACTAAAGAGCAAATTAATACATAAAAGATATATTTAAAAAATAGAATAACCAAAATAACAAATTTCGAAAGACCAGAAATAAACATCTAGCAAGTATAACCATTTTCCACACCACATGGTTCCATTGAAATGTTAAAGAACCCAAAAAAATGAAAATAAAAAACCCAAAAAACCTAGTATATATTTTAAAACATGCATAAAGCTTCCTAAAAGCATACACATACAACAATAAACTTAATAAAGATAAAACAACCATTAAATAGAACACAAGAAACAATATATTGCATTGCTTTAAAAATATATATATATTGTATCCAGGATCATCATCATGAGCATCATCATCCGAGCCTTATCCCAAATATTTGGGGTGGGCCATACGAATTTTGTTTTCTCATTCCTATTTCTTGCAAAGACCCTAAAATCTGAGGAACCAAATGGCCTCTCTCTCTCTCTCTCTCTCTCTCTCTCTCTCTCTCTCTCCTCCTCCTCTCTCTCTCTCTCTCTCTCT